AATATTGAACTAAAAAGTGAGTATTGCATAGCAAATTGAGAAAGAAATAATTTGGATAATTAATTAAGGAATTCAAAAATAATAATAAAAATAATGATGATAAAATAAACTACATTAAATGTCCAATGGGATATAAAATTTGAACCCTCTAAGACGAGATATAAATAATCTTGGTTAATGATATCAAGTTTTTTGGTTATTAATCAACTGAAAACTTACAACTATGCCTTAATTAAAAATTATGAAAAAACTATTTTTATTCCCTTCATCTGCTAAGGTCTTTGTGTTAGGAAAGAGTTGATAACTAAGAAATCAAGATTATTTTCATTTCATAGAATGACTAAAGATCAATTTGTGTGTTAGAACAAGAATGCATATCGGATATCCATACTCCTACAAATAGAAAAGAAACAATACAAGTCATTTTCTCGCATGAAAGATCATGCATCTTGTGAAGGTGCGGAATAAAAATAAAATTTTCCTCCATCTAAAGGGCCCAAGATCATATCGTCGAATCAACTAACCATATATTTATGAATTAAAGCTTAAATAAAGAATTATCTCTTATAGTGTAAGTTTAAATTCTTTAACAAAAAAGAGTTTTTCAAATGTCCGACCTTTATTGATAATCCACGTAGTCTAAGCACCACATAAGAAGCACTTGAAATTGGTAGAATGTTAGGTCCACCTTTTCCGACTTTGTTTAGTGTTTTACTTTAGAAATCTAATCGGGATAATTTTGTGACAACCCTAAAAGAGAGACGATAAGTGGCGTGTGCTAGGGTTTTGGGAGAAAACTATTTTCTCCTTAATTTTGCTCAATGTCATGTGCCTTAGTTTTTTATGTCAAATTTCTCACTTGATAATTTCTTTTCTCTCTTGTTTACCGCACCTCTCTCTCATATATTTAGGAGAGAGGCTTCCTTGTCCTCCAAAGACAAGAAAAATGTGGCAATAAGTCCCTAAAGGATTCTAGGTTATTGCTTCCTAATCCTTCAAGAATTAGGAGTTATTATGCATGCGAGGCTTTTGATCTTATCCTTTAAAACATTCATCTTTTTCCAATAAGATTCATATTTATCTTCCCACCAAAATATCTTTTAAACTTTTAATTAAACCTATTGGTCCAAACTATTTTTTTTAATTAACTAATTTGGACTATCCAAATAAATTAAGTTAGGTAATTTTCAATGGCCGACATTAGAAAAAAATTTCTCAAAATACCCTTAAACCTAAATTAGGAAACTAATTTTCTTTTACGTTATTTGCTTTCTAATTTGGATTTGGGACTAACTTCTAAATTAGAAAAGTGATTTCTAAAATAAGAAACTTTTCATTTTAGAAAAAAATTTTCAAAATAGGAAACTTTCAAATAGAAAACCTTTTTCCAACATGTTTGCTTCTCTTTTATTATGTGAATGTTGAAACTTATGTGTATGACTCAATAGACTCCTAGATGTGTTGGTAATGTATCAAGAATAAAAGACACCTCATGTATCTCTTAATACATAAATCAAGATTGGACTCTAACAAGACATCATGAATACTTAATTCTCTAGGAGCATTAATTAATCTAAAATTACCTTTCACAAGCATGGTTACCATACAATTTATTCCTCATGTCAACTTATCATATTTTGATCTTAAACATGATTATTAGTCTTGTTCGATCATGATTACACAAGTTTTCTTTTATTCTCAAATGTCTTAGCTCTTAAAGTAAACCAACTATGCTATATTAGTGTACTCCTACTATGGTTATAGATTTCTTGAGTAGACATTCATCAAAATGCAATGTGATAACTCTTTTAACATATAAGGAATGATATATCTTGTCTTAGTTATCTACCTACCTCCATTAAATTCCTAGTGCACCCAACGAATTATCCACGTGTAACCCTTTACTAGGTCCATCGAAACAAGTATCAAATTACATAAATCTTTCAATAAAATAATAACGATAACTTCAAGTCGAAGGACTATTTGTACCCATCTCATATAAGATTCTCATAAACTAAATCAAATAGGTTCTCATGGTGAGTTAAGTCGAGTGATATGTTCTCTAACATAAATCACCTAAGTGCTTGCTTTGGCATCATCATGCCAATAGGTGTGAGATCTCCTACTCGCTATCATATAGCATGAGTATAGCACTCACAAGTCTAACCGCATTTAGTCAATGTCCATTCTTAACAATGCTATGACTTAGGACATTCAATGATATCATTTATATGCATTACTATTTGTCTCACATCTTTCGATTAATTACTAATGCAAATGCATGTCATACGAACTTCTTTCTAATTCTATTTAATAAATAAATATAAGATATAAGAATTAATAGAATGATTTTTTTGTTATTAATAAAATAAATAATGCAATAATACAATAACTCAAACGGATCCAAATATGATTGGATCTTGGACACCTACACTAACAATGTAAAAAGAAAAAATGATGTATTTATTGAACATATCAAAAGATGTCACTAAATCTTATATTATAATTGTTTAACTCTACTATAGAGAGAGTTAAGTCATTTATGATTCCAAATTGAGTAGGTAATGAATATCTTATCTCGCTACAAAGAGAGCCAAGTCACTAAGCTATGTCTATTTTCTTCCTCAAATTGCTCTCCAAAATTCTCTCTAAAAAAAACCTCTAATTTGTTAATCGAAAATACTCCTTATATGCTTTGTAGAAGAGCTCAGGAAAACATCTCCCTACCATTGAGCTTTTGAGGGTGAATCATGATGACCTTCCATTCGTTTTTGTGAGCCGAAAAAGAATAAGGCAAAAAGATGTGCCATGACTGTTTTTTCTTTTTAAGCAGTTTTCATGTTGTCTTTGGGTAGTAACAAGTAGTGTGTTTTGAAGGGTCCAAAACAGCATGCTTGGCCAAATGTGGAGTGCAAATGCGGAGGGCAAGTATGATGTGTTTCATGTCTAGCTTTGGTGCGTGTAAGCGTGTGAGAGAGGGAAAAAAAAGAGCTGTCCACGAGGAAAACAAGAAAAAAAAAATGAACGAGAAAGAAAGGAGGGGATGAATAGTATCCAACAAGATGAAACGACGTCATTTCACTCTACTAAGTTATATTATTATTATTGTTTTTAACCATTCAAAACAATGTCGTTTAACTAAGTTAAATTTTTTCGCTCTTCATTTTATCCGGCTTTTACTTTGGTCCTCGGCCTCTTTTTTGTTTTATTTATCCTTGTTTATTTCTGCCTTCTTTTTATCCTCATTATTTTTATTTTCTTTCATCTTTATCTTGATTTTTTTTTTCCTTCAGTTCCGTCTCTATTGCCTTTTTTTTCGCTTTCTTTCTATTTTTTCTTTTCTTTTCTTTCTCAATTACTTCCTCAAAAATTAAAGAAAAATACTAGCATACTTTAAAAATCATTAAAAAATTTTAAATAACTTAAAATTGCAAAAAAAAAAAAAAAGTATGAGTTTTTATTTTTATTTTTATTTTTTTGGAATTTTTGACAAATGAATTAAAAAAAAATTATGTGAAAGAGGTCGAGAATAGGTTTTAACAGTTAAATTTTCTTTACAATACTTATAATACGAAATCATTGAATATATATATTGATTTTGTTTAATAAATTTAAAAAAGAAAAAAAACAGAATGAAAATTTTTAGGAAAAATAAAAGACAAATCAACTTGAAAATTATTTGCATACGTTGGTCATGTAGTAGAGGCAAACTACCTTCGAAACTCACTTTCTTTCTATTTTTTTTTATTTTTAAGATGTTGGTCATGTAGCAGAGCTGACCTATCTCGTAAATTCTTTCTTCTTTGTTTCTTTTTTCTTTTTTTTTTCGAAATATTGGGCATGGAGTAGAGGCAACTTATCTTTGAATTCACTCTTATGTTGGTTAGATTAAAGAGGCGATATACTAAAAAAAAATCACTTAGATACGTGAATCACGTTACAGAGTCCACCTGTCTCAAAAAATTTGCTTCGATGTTGGTCATATTAGGGAAATGACTTGCCTTTTGTTAGTCCAAGTGGTCGAAGGCAACCTGCTTTTTGTTTGGGCAAGTTGAAAAAGTCCTACCATTTCTGAGATGTTTCAAGTTTTTATAGTTCTAGATTTTCGATTTTTTTTATCTTTTCAAAATTTTCTAGGTTTTCAGATTTTGTTAAGTTTTTTAATTAATTTTTTACGTATTAAAAGAATTTCTTTTAGTGGTCTAAGTGATATTTTTATCCAAAAATAGCATATGATATAAAACATGAATATATAAGAACATATAGAAGTGAAATTTTTTTTTTAAAAAAAAAAACATATAAGAGATTCCTAATATATAAAGATAGATCGATTAAACCCATTTTTTTATAAATAAAATTGACTCTTAATCAAGTTATATTGTTGGGGGATTTTGAGTTGGAAAATGGCTGCACACCTTTTTCCCTAATTTGAAGTAAATCTCTGGAAAGTCTAGATAGACGAAAGAGCAATGCCAAGTTACCATGGTGGTAGTGAGATCAATCAATGGCTCGGTTTTTTGGCCCTTCAATTGCACAAGTTCTAATCAATTTCTGTTTCTTTTTACCATTTTCATAGGTTATTATGAGTTGGTTCTAGTCCTTCCATGCTTGCTCTTGCAGCACATAAGAAAACCAAAAGAATATTACAGGACATGCATCACAAATTAGCCAAAACAGAACCATCAAAACTTCGAGAAAAAAGCGTTCAATTCAAATGCTGGACCATGACTGGTATCAAGCTTGTTCTTGCTCGATAAATCGTTAGTCATAACCTTTAGGGCCACTAAATTTCAGAGATCATTTTCACAGTGTTTGTTTCATTCATCATTTGGTTCTACATTGTCATAACTCATAAATGAACTAAAGGCTTCCTCCACTCAAATATGCACAAAACAGTGGATCACAGATCAATCACGTTTCATTTCAAGGAATCCAAATACAATGCCAGGAGAGGGAGACAAAAAAAAAAAAAAAAAAGCACTATCATCTAGGCAGCTGATTCAATGAGCAGAATGAGTTGTGGCAGTCGTCTTCTTAAAATCAATCTTGTCCACTTTAACCTCACCATCAATGAGCTCGTAAACATACACAACAACACGTAGGCCATCAATGTCCATGAGGACAAAGCTTGGGTTCACATCATAGGTAATGCTGCTATAGGCACCAGTAGCAGACCCTGGGTTTATAACAACACCTCCCTCGTGTTTGTAAGCTGTGAATTGATGGGTATGACCGGTCACAAGTATGTCTACATCCAGCTGCCTCTGGAGCATTGCTAGTGAGTCTAAATCCCCCCATGGAACAACCTTTAAAATATCAAACCGAAACAAAACTAGTAACTACAGGATGAAACTTTACAAATTCTGCATACAGTAGTCATGAAAAGAAAATCATTTACTTGTATCCACAAAGATTTAACCTTTGCCAGCACAATATGGTTTCTCAAGAATACAAATTATTGACCAAGAGGCTAGTGGATGTTCCAATCAAGAATAAGCAAGGTCGTACTGAAGATGGCTGAAATCAGAGTGTCAATAGGATTTACTCCAACACAAGAAAGAATTGAGAGAACTTCCTCTCATCTTTTTCACTATCTTTATTCTTTCTCACTTCATAAAATAACAAACCAAAGAAGCATAGAGAGTAGTATCTAGGGGAGATGGACATACATCACACTTAGTGCCTACTCAAGGAAGTTCCACATGAAATCAAATTGATGCTTGACAACTAAAGGTGAGGGAGTCGCAAAAACATTTGTTGAAGCCTTGAAGCTAGTAGAAATAAATGAATGAGCAATGAACCAACGATGAATTAAATGCATATGAAGATAGTGGCAGTACAAATTGAAAAATCAGATTAATTTTATAGAAGAAAGATTGACAAATTAAGGACAAATGTAGAAACCAGAATAAGGTTTGAAGAATAGACATCTTAGCTGAAATGTACAGTAAAATTGCAACATGGAAAAAATTGAATATTGGTATGAACCACAACAAATGCAAAAGAGGTCGTTAAATTTGAGCTTTGTACATAAGGCCAGAAATTTAGAATAGCATGAGGATCTAGGGTAACATCCCGGTTATGTTGAGAAGAATTAATGCAATAGGCATCATATGCTAATAAAATAGACAGATGCATTTTGTTAAGAAAAAGCATGGAGAAAAATAAATAAATAAATAAAGTAAGAGAAAAAGGAAATCAAACCTGATGACCATGGCATAGTCCCAACTTGAATTGCCCAATAGTTAATGTTTTGGTCTCGGGATATCGAGTATCTTCATCATATTCACCTCGAGTAATATGTAAATCGGGGCAAAGAGTCTTCAAGTAGTCATGAACTTCCTGAAAATCTCATAAGAAAAATATGAGTTACCGAAATTTATTTCAGGAAGTCATACAGAACTGATGCTTAAATGCTCAAATGGCATTCAAACTGCTAACACAGTATCAGCACACAAGTTGGATTTTTTTTTTTCCCCTAAAGGAAAACACTTCAACTATAAAATTGGTTTAAGCCTAAGGGTTAGCTCAACAACCCTTTAGCCTGAAAAACGAGAGACAATGCTGAAAAGCCAACAAGGGCAGCTTGGCAATCTAAAGGTTGACCATTGAAATGCATCTAAGAGCAAGCATGAAATCAGGATAGTGGTGTAATACATTAGAAAGTAGAAATTAAACTAAAATTCGCCTTAGTAAAATAAAATAGGCATCAAAGTGATGTTGGAAAGGGATTGGATATCTGTTTTACTCGGCTCCTGGAAAGTTTGCCTAATCGACATCGACTATTATCCTCCAGAGGCTTAGATCAAGTGAAAAAGCCATGAATCATTGATCTTGTAAAATAGGAAAAAATGGGAATCGATTTGACCAAATAATAACAATAATAAATCCAATTAAAACTGAAGCGAAAAGGAAAAGAAGCCCACTATTGGTATTATTTCAACCGTAACATAGTAGAATTAAAGAGCATTAATTAAGAAAAAACATACTTTGATAGAAAGATTGCCAGTGCAAATGATGTGCTGGATCTTGCCAGGAACAAGCATGGACTTGAACTTTGCAGGAAGATCAGGTGCTCTATGGGGTATGTGTAGATCCCCAAGAGCCAATACCAACACCATCCCAAACAAAAATTATTTAAGCAGAGACACAAACACAGAGCTCAGCTTCCAATTTTTCCAAAACCTGCTCTCTCTCTCTCTCTCTCTGTGAATGAATCAAATTGTTCTTTAGTTTAGTTTTGATCGCATTGGATGTGAGCGACGTCGTTCTCTGCCTGTCCAAGACTTCTAAGTAAATTAGGCAGCTTCTAAACAAATTTTTAATGACCAAAGGACATATTTATCCCCCCAAATTTATGGAAACATATATATAAGCGTCTATTGCGTCCCAAGGAAAAAAGAAAAATAAAATTCATTGATGTTACTTTTTATCATAAAATTTCATTTTTCAAGAGTTATAACTAACTCAATTGACAAAAATACAAAATTAACAAAAACTATAAGATATTTTTTTTCCTAAATTTGTTTCAATTCATCATTGCATATCAGCTTTTATTATTATTATTATTGTAAATCATCATCATCATTTTAAAATTTGAAATCCATTTTCTTTTCATTTCCTTATAAACGAGTACTAGTCGGATACCCTCATTAAGTTGTAGATAGACAATTATTATATATATAGGGTTAACGATTCGTATGGTATAATATCAATAGAAAATTTTATTTTTTGTGATTAATATAAATCGAATCTATATATAGTTAATTTCATATATATATATATATATATATATATATATAATAGATTGAAAGTATATATAATAAATAGAAAAATATATCCAAAAACCCACCTAAATTGTAGAAATATATTGAAATCAATATATTAAAATAAAAACTATAACAAAATTTATTCGATAAATTCTGAATAAATATATATAAAAAAATAAAACTTGTGAATTTTTTAACTCATTATTATTTTTTAAAAAATAAAATCAAACTATCTAAAACATACTCATCTCTCTCTCTCTCTCTCTCTCTCTCTCTCTCTCTCTCTATATATATATATATATATATATATATATATATATATATATTAAAAAATAAAACACTCATTTAAAAATATAAAAATAAGTTATTGTATAAATTATAATAATATATTTTAAAAAATAAAAAATTGACGTTGTAAATTTTTATTTCAAAATTCATATATTAAAAAATTAAATTTATTAAAAAATAAAATTATATAAAAACTAATTTATTGACAAATAAAATTATATCAAAAAATTATCATCCATTACAAATTTGTAATAAAATCAAAAATTAAAAATGTTTCAAAATGATCATCATAACCTAAAGATATGTGTTTATCAATCATGAGCTCTATATATATATGAAAAAAAAAAAAAAAAGCAAGTTGGGTAGTCAAGGCTTGGATATATGAAGGGGAAAAAAAAGAAGAAAAAAAAAAAGACTAAGCTTGGTAGCCAAGGCCAAGTGCATGCATGCTCCAGAGCCTGGCCTTGGTTGCTAGTCAACCAAAAAAACAAAAACAAAAACAAAACAAAACAAAAATGAAAACAAATAAAAATAATAATAAAAGAATTGAGGTATTGTTCATTTACTATTGAATGATCCCAGTTTTTTTAATTTTTTTTGTAATAATGTTAATTTTTTTTTTTAAGATTTAGTATAGTGTTAATCACTTAAACAATACATTGTAAAACTATCCTTTTCGTTTATCAATGTTTCTTCTTTTAAACATGAATTTCACAATTAAAAAAAAAAAACCCACAATTTAGTTCCCTACCAATATACTCATTTTTAATGAATCTTAAATATAAGAATTTTATTAATTAGATTCCATATATATCAAACATTCATAATTAGGTCTTTTTGTTATTTTTAATCAACATTTATGTCAAAATTTCTTTAAATATACTCCATTTTAGTAAATAAAATATGCTATTATAATAAAAATGTTAATATTCGTTAATTTTTTTCTTTAGATTCTCTTCAAAACAACTTCATTTTAATGAATAAAATATGCATATTAAACTTCAAATATTTATAAAAAAAAATGACAAAAAGATTCAATTGAAAATGTAAAATGTTTCAGACATAATTGATTAAATTTATAAATTTAAAATGTCATTGAAAATGAATATATAAATAAGCTTAGGATTAAATAAAAGTTTCTTCTGGAAAGTTCTAGGCATAACTCATAAAGAGCTTCAAATGGGTATTACCACTTTTGGTCCTCTTAATTTAAGATTTATTTTTAATTCATCTCATTACTCTATTTAAGTCAATTTGATTATCCATCCAATTAGAAAAGAAATTAGGATAAACTAATATCCTCAATGTCAACAAAAAGTTTCAATGTTGCCCTCATAATTATATAACTAACAATAGCTAATTACAACAAACAATTTTCTTAATCTTTGTGATTTTTCAAATTCTTTAAACTTTCACGTGTATAGTGATTTGACAAAAAGAAAAAAAGAAAAAAATAGGCTTTAAGCTTAACGGTTAAAAGCTAAATTTTAACATCTTGAAAACTATAAAATATTTAAAATTATGGCATACCACCTATATAGCCTATAGGAGTAATACTAGAAGACTGAAAGAGTTTCTTTCTCCTTCTCTTTCATACTCCCAAAATTTAACTAGGAAGAAAGAGCTCTTTTGAGAATCATTTCCATAGAAGGAATCGTCTCCTCTGGTAGGTATATCATATCATAAATGCAATGTGTTTCCTCTTTCTATTAAGCTATCCATTATAATGCAAAAAAAAGTTACTCTTTTCTTGTAACTTCAACTTCAACTTTACTTCCATTACTTCCAGGACCAAAAAAAAAAAAAAAAAAATTGTTTTGAAGTCTAAAAGGTTTCTGCTTTCTGTTTAAATTCTCAGGCGTCTCACTAATAATTTTTCCTTCACATTAAACTCTTTGCATTTTTCAAGTTCCCTTTTTTCCTGATCAGAAACCAAAATGGGCATGAGCCCAGTTAATAACAAGTTTCCATTTGACAGGTTAGTGACGTGTTGTTGCTGCATAAGAATTTTGGGCTTGTAGACAGCAAAAAGACCAGAGATTTGGTAAAAAAAAAAAAATGGGGAGAAAGAAGAAGGTTATTAATAAAGATGAAATGGCAGAAGAATCCTGTTTTGTTTGCAAAGATGGGGGAACTCTCAGGATTTGTGATTACAAGTAAGTTTCTTTCTATGTTCTAGTAAATTTTTGTATGCATCTGAGAACAAAAGGAATGAATTTTTGTTTGCAAAGATGGAAGAACTCTCAGGGTTTTTGTGATTACAAGTATGTTTCTTTCTCTGTTCTTGTAAATTTTTTTATGCATTTGAGAACGAAAAGAATGAATTTTTGTTTGCGAAGATGGAGGAACCCTCACGGTTGTGATTAGGTTCCTCCATGTGTTTTGTGTTTTTATGATAGTAGGGACCCCAAATCTGAAATTTCTTTTTCTTTCTGTGTAAAGTGCAAACTGCAAAGTCAAGATTAAGCCTTTATTTTGTTTGCAGATCATTATTTCTTTTTATTATTATTATTTTTAACGCAGTAGCTCATGATGAGCACTTAGGTCTTTGCACATTGCTGTGGCATGTAGGGATATAGTAGGTTCTTTATTTATTATTTATTAGTTTATAGTGTGCCATATTCTTTTCCCCTGTTTGAGATGCGTCTATTTGTGTGGACCAGTATTCCTTCAGATGCCACAATATTTCCTTGTGACCATTAACAATTCTGTCTTTTCAAGGCACGTCTATTACACTAACACCTGTTCGATGCTGCTGATTCTAATTTTTAATTCACTCTCTGATTTCTTCACCTATTCATTAGAGTGAATAGTTTTTCTTTTTGCTTTGTCGAAAGAACATGAACAGTTATTGTTAGTTGTTGACCGCAATTTTTCCATGATAATGTGCCTAAGTAAATATTGTTCTTTATTTACTTTGAATCGTTTACTTAGTTTTCTCATGGTATACTGTCTTAAAATTGACTGCTTAAGATACCTGGCATGGATTAACTATTGTTAATCTTTTTCCTTATATGAACATGTTTGCTGATTACGTAATCAGGGTGGGTCAAATCATCATAAACTTCCTCTATTTGAAAATCATATTTGCGTAAATTTGTGCCAGTGCCTAGTGGATCTATATACACGCACACATGAATAGAAATGCATATATGCATGAATAAAACTACAAAGTAAAGGCTGTACAAGAGAAGTCTAGGAAAAAAGTGAAGTCAGTTTATTTTCCTGTGTGTTCATTCAGTTTTGCTTCACGATACTATTCTTACTTACAAGTGGGAGGCAACCTCAGAGAGCATGATTATTACCTGAAATCCATAGTGCGGCCTATAAGTATGCTACCTCATTTGCTTCTAACTTCTGCCAATGGCTTACCAATTCCTTTGGAAGCCTGAGACTTGTCTTAGGTTGTACTTGAATAATACTTGCTGCACATGGGCATGTGCCTTACAGAAGCTTGTCCACCCCAACTAATTTTGTTTCCCATAGTTCTAGGAAAAAAGTGAAGTCAGTTTATTTTCCTGTGTGTTCATTCAGTTTTGCTTCACGATACTATTCTTACTTACAAGTGGGAGGCAACCTCAGAGAGCATGATTATTACCTGAAATCCATAGTGCGGCCTATAAGTATGCTACCTCATTTGCTTCTAACTTCTGCCAATGGCTTACCAATTCCTTTGGAAGCCTGAGACTTGTCTTAGGTTGTACTTGAATAATACTTGCTGCACATGGGCATGTGCCTTACAGAAGCTTGTCCACCCCAACTAATTTTGTTTCCCATAGTTCTTGATTAGGGACGATGATTATTAATTAGATTCTTACATCTTTGTGGTGGTGGTGGGGAATTCTATTCATCAAATAGTATCTTGCTTTCAGGGATTGCCTTAAAGCTTATCACCCGAACTGCGTGGAAAAAGATGATAATTTCTTGGAAAGTGACGTCCCCTGGAGCTGCAGTAAGTTGCTTATATTACATATATTCATCCAGTATGCTGTACCAAGGAGATGTAAGCCTAAGAATTGTTTCCTTTGAGTCAATCTGCATTTCTGTCTTGTCTCTCTAGATCTATTTCTGTTTTGGAGGTTTGAGCAGGTCACATCGATTGTTGATTTCATATTCTTTCATACCATGCTTATTCTCTCTTATTGTCTTCTATACAACTTGGCATCAGTACTTAATGTTGCCTCAAGCACTTTGCATGTGACAGAGGACTTCTTTTTGCATTTATGTGTTTTATTTGTGACAGAAGTTCTTTCTGAAGATCGTAAACCTTCCCAAGTAGATATTACTCCTCCATCATTGTATTAGGATAGTATTGGCTAGAGAATACATTTCTTTTGTTAACCAAATGGACTTTCAGACACTCTGCAACTTGATCTTTTTTTATCCTCTTCCTTTTCATTAAGTCTTTACGATTGCACCATTTCTGGAATATCTGTTCAGCTTGTAAGACAATAAATTTAAATATCAGATTGGCATTCTTGCTTCATTTGCAAGAAGACTGCAAAGTTCAATTGCTTCTGTTGTCCAAATGCTGTTTGTGGAGGCTGCCTATGTGATGCTAATTTAGCAATAGTTAAAGTGAAAAGAGGATTTTGCGGTAACTGCTTAAGGCTTGCGGGACTTGTGGAAGGAATAACCACTGTAGACTTCAATGAGGTATAAATTGTTTCTAGTGAATAAATATATAAATTTTTGCGGTTGCTTTCTTGTGCGCTATCATCCACCTTGTTGCTTATCACGAAAATGCCATGTTTGAAGCTAGATATCCTGCTTAGTTCCTGAAAGATTCTGCAGTCCTTTAAGCAATTCAAAGTTTTGTCTTACAGAATTTATCTATTGCCATTTATTTTCAGACAAAAGAGAAGATGAAATGTGACTATAAATTAGTGGAGTCAAGTGGTACGCTCATATATTCATTTTAACATAAAGGTGTAACTAAAAAAGATATTTCACTATATTCCTAGTGCACTTAGAAGGTTTACTTTCTAAATGATGATGATAACCGTCATAGAAAGCTTCTCTAACTCAGTTCTTCCTTTTGACTAGACCAAATCTAAGCTTAGCTGCTTCCTTATTCTTTGTTTTTCCATTGTCTGTACGCTTTTTTTTCCACAGGAGAAGGTAAACTTGAGCCTTCAAGATTCATATGAGTTCCTGTTCAAGCATTATTGGGACTATATTAAAGAGAAAGAAGGCATGACTTCAGCACATGTCAATTATGCGCGTTTTCTTTTGAATCACAACAGGAATTATGATTCCAATTTAAGTGATACTTGTGTTGAAGGAGGAGAAGGAGAAGGACTTAGTGATTTTGAAGATCAACTTATCATGAGTGATGGTTTGGATGGTGCGAAAGAACATAAACCAAGTCAGAGTAGGAAGAGAATCAAAGGAAAGCCAAAGGAAAAGTCAAAGACTAAGGAGTTCCTTGGGTGGGGATCAAAACGCCTATTTGAGTTCGTCACATCCATTGGTCAGGAAACAAATAAAAAATTGTCACAACATGGTGTTACCACTATTATTTCTAAGTATTGCAGAGATAACAACCTTCTTGACCCACTGAAGAAAAAGAAAATTATTTGTGATGAGAAACTACACACTCTTCTTGGAAGGAAGTTTGTCAATAAGAATAGCATATATAAGCTATTGACAAACCATTTTGCTGAGAATTTTGAAGAGTCGGAGAATGAGTTTAGAAACTCTGAATACAGCTCAGACGAAGAGGGCCGGAATGTGTTGTCACCTTGTAAAAGGAAGAAAAGTCCAAGCTTGGACAGAAACTCTGAGAATAAGGAAGCAGTTTTAGATATCCGGCAAAGCTGTTTTGCATCTGTCATACCTAGGAATATCAAACTTGTCTACCTGCAGAGGAGTGCACTCGAGGAGCTGTCAAAGCAGCCAGAGACCTTTGATGCTAATGTAATGGGTAGTTTTGTGAGAGTTAAAGCTGATCCCAATGATTGGATGCAGAGAAACTCTCATCAGCTCGTGCAAGTGATAGGTAATGGTTTAATAGTTTCTTTGCTCGAGTAATATATTTTATCTATCTCCCTTAGCATAGATTAATTAAATTACTTAGTTCTGCAGGTCAAAATGGTTTTGGTCATATTTATAAATATAGATACCATGATCTCTTAAGCAAGCACTGGATTCAAGCTAATTAACTAGTCACATGGTGTCTTGCCTGTGATATCTTTTCTTTTTCACTATATAAAAACAGAATGAACTATCAACTTATAACCAAGATAACTATAGGGTGTTTTAAAAGGGCTAGTGTGTACTAAGTTGAAGCTAGATTAATAAAAATAAACTTACTCTATAAATAAGTATATAATAGAAGTAGCCTTTCATTTCAATTCCATAATCACTCACTAAAACAACTTTTAAATGCATTAACCCTCCTTTTGAACTGAGGATCCTTCAACATAGCCATGTATTGGGATCTTTTGACATAATCGTCATGTATAGCCAAAAGTTTCAAATCATATGGCAGCTTTGGTACAACTTATTTTTCTTCATGAGCAACTAAAAATGCCATGAAACTTAGGGTGAAATATGTAGCAGATATGGGACTAGCCAAGGGTTCCTGAAGCTTTGTAAATTTAGCAATAAAAATACTAATTGCCCAAAATATCGAAGCATATTTCATAAGAGGTACCGACCTTCAGTTATCACTTAATTGTTTTCATGCCGGCAGCACACTACTGAAGGCTGGGTTTTCATCTGATCATCAAAATCTGTGAAATTTAATTTTACACTTCACTAAGAATCATGCGAATGCAATTTCTTCTAAATAAGTGAAACTTTAAAGGAGAAGTTGTTTGACCACTAACTAATAATTTAACTCAAGTTCACTCATTTGTTAGTATAACATCGTGAAGAAACCCAGTGATTTGAGATGGGTAACACCGAAAATCCAAATGATTTCAGTGTCAAACTCTAGTTGTTCTGTGTTTCTCATCCTAGTGGTTTGGATCCTATATTCCGCTTAATATGTTGTTTTATCTCAGTTTGTCCAGATATCAAATTAGATCAAGATATAACCATTGTTTTACCATGGAAGAGAATGGTTTGTTTACAATTTTCCTCTAGCCTGAAAATCAACTTTCTGTTTCTTTTTCCTTAATGATTATAATGTACAACTACAGGCATAAACAAAAATTCAATAAATGGAGAAATGAATTCAGATATTTTCCTGCAACTTTCAAATAGAGTCTCAGACGTGCCAATTTCCGAAGTATCGGAAGATGACTTCTCTGAGGTAAGCAATTCAAGCATCTTTTTAATCGTATTTTATTTAGCAATCTAGAAATAAAAGCACTATAGTCAACAATTTAAGTAAATTCAAAAGACCAGCCTGTTCATGACCTTTTCTGACCATTTTATGTTGTGTTACTAAATGTGTCTTCTATCAGTTAAATTGACCATATTAACAAATATTCAAATATGGGCTGTTTTCTAAGAGTATTTGGTTTTTGAGAGTTGAATGTTATGACAGCCTGCAACATTGCCTTTTAAGATCTTCTGGGGAGAGTCTACTTTCTAGTTCCAGAATTATATTCTTGGGGTTGCATATTTGCAGGGATCTTTTCCAACTTAATCATAAATTATTCTATCAATTGTTATCACTTTATCTATGTTTGGATCTCTCTTTTTCAAAATCATATGTTCAAAAACCAAAAATTAAACCCTCTAAAAACATTGAAAGTCACAGCACTTTCTGGTGATTTATTTCCTTTTTCCAAGGTAATATACAGAGTTGATCGTTTTTGTTTTTTCAGGAAGAATGTCAGGATTTGCATCAGAGAGTGAAAGATGGCCTGCTTAGAAGGCCTACTGTTGTAAGTTGTTCAATTATTAAGCAATTCAGTTTTTCAGGACATCAATTTTTTTAGCAAGAGGAGTAGATTATTGTGGAAAAGTGTGCCATAGTTTACTGAATTCTGCCAATGAAATAGATTAAATGGGTTTTGCTAGCATTCAAACTTAGAAATTTACTCCCGCTCTTCCCATAAGCAACTTTGTTTCCATGGAAGAAATTTTCAGTACTGCTTCTGCTTCTATTTTCCTCTGATTTCTAACTTTTGATGAGTAGAACAAGCTATGAATCTCCCTTGTACATGATTTTTCTTCTCTTAACGAAACTAGTCAAAATGCATACTATTGGCATATAAGTTTATTAACATGTACGAACATATGCATGCATATGAGTTGAAGTGGATTACAAATGAGCATGGGCATTGAGTTTCACCAACATTCATCCAAAAAGATGTGTGGTATGCAGATTTTAAGATTTGTGCTTTATGTTTTCTTTTCCCAATTTTGAGCAGGTAATATATGTATTTGTCTCTGGATGGTATTATCTGCACATTGCATGCTGTAATGGATTCACATCTTTATTTTTGAAAGATTTTAGGTGTTAAATATGAGAACTCTTATACCAAGATCTGACACAAGTCCTTTGTTGGACAGGTGGAGTTTGAGGAGAAGGCCAGAACTCTCCACGAGGTTAGAACAAAAAATGTACGTATGTTCTGAAAAATGTCTAAAGAACTAGGACTTCCTATGTTTAATGCAGGTCCTTGAGAATCTTGTATGGACGAAAGAGAATCTATATTTTATAATAATGGATGAATGCAACAAATGTCCAAAACCTATAAACAAATTATTAAAAAGAAAAATATGAAGCAGCTGAGAAGTAACAAAAAATTACTTAACATAGCCAATGAGGTTGCTGCATTGAGTTTTATGAAGCTAATTTATTGGTGTGAATAATTAGGTTTGAATGACCTCAATTTTTATTATACTAGAACACGTATATATACACAAAGAGCCCTAAATATTAGGACTTGTTTCCTGCTTCAAGGAGGAAATCTTGCCTAACCTATTCTAAATAGGAACAAATATACAGCTAATTACATTGATTTACAGCCTAATTCCTAGCTGATTAATAGCAAAGAATCCCAACACTCTCCCTCAAGCTGGGTTGTAAATATTTATCATACCCGACTTGCAACTAAGATCTTCAAAATGCTTCCTTGGAAGTGCTTTAGTTAGGATATCGGCTGTTTGTAGATTAGAAGGAATGTAAGTAGGCTTGATTTCTCCTCCTCTTTTTTCTCTTATAAAATGCCGATCTATTTCCACATGTTTGGTCCAGTCATGATAAACTGAATTTTTGCAATGTTGATGGCAGATTGACTGTCACAAAGTAGCTGTAGTGATCCCTTAAAAGGTATCTTCAATTCGGCTAATACTCTTTTCACCCGATTCCTTCACAAATACTATAAGTCATTGCTCGAAATTCTGCTTCAGCACTACTCCTAGCTACCATAGCTTGCTTTTTACTCCTCCATGTTGTCAAATTTCCCCAAAGATAGGTACAATATCCGAAGTGGATCGTCTATCCGTGATTGAGCCTACCCGGTCTACATCAGAATACAATTCCACTTCCCTACTTGAGTTCTTTTTGAATAATGGTCCCTTACCCGGAGTCATTTTCAAGTATCTTAAGACTACGTACACCGCTGTCATGTGTTCTTCAATAGGGTTGTTCATGAACTGGCTAACAAAACTTACCGAGAATGCTATGTTTGGCCTAGTATGTGACGGATAGATCAACTTTCCTACGATTCTTTGGTGTCTTCCTTTATCTATCGGAGCACTATCCTTCTCGGACCCAAGTTTGGCGAGTGTAGTCCATAGGTGTCTCTGCAGGTTTACACCCAAGCATACCTGTTTCTTTTAGAAGATCTAGTACATACTTCCTTTGAGAGACTGCAATGCCTCGCTTAGACCTAGCCACTTCCATTCCCAAGAAGTATGTGAGTTTACCTAAGTCCTTGATCTCAAATTCTCTATTCAAAAATTTTTTGACTCTTGAAATCTCCTCGAGCATAATCCCCTATTAAAACAATATCATCAACATAGACAATCAACACGAAATCAGTCCTTCCAAAGAATGTTTTACAAACATTGTATGATCGGATTGTCCCTATATATACCCATTACTCTTCACTACTCCGGTAAATCTCTCAAACCAAGCTCCGGGTGATTGTTTAAGACCATAAAGTGACTTCTTTAATTGACACACTTTGTTGATGTTTGATGAGTTACGTAGTCCTTGGGGAATGTCCATATAGACCTCTTCTTCTAGATTCCCATTCAAGAATGCATTCTTGACATCTAGTTGATGTAGGGGCCAATCCAAATTAGCTGCAAGAGAGAGGAGTATTTGAATAGTGTTAAGTTTTGTTACCGGAGCAAAGGTCTCCTCATAATCTATGTCATAGGATTGAGTAAATCCTTTAGCTACTAACCGAGTTTTGTATCTTTCAATAATACCATCTCGCTTTTGTTTTTACATTGAAAATTCACTCGCACCCGATCACATTCTTTCCATGAGGCAAATCGGTAATCTCCCAAGTACCATTCTTTACCAAAGCATTAACTTCTTCATTGATCGCCTTCTTCCATTCCGGGATAGTCATGGCTTCATGGATTGAGTTCGAAATGGATATAGAATTGATTTTTCCGGTGAATGCTTAGTAAGATGAAGATAGCCCATCATAGTTCACATAGTTCCCAATAGGGTACAATGGCTTACTTTTGCATTCTCTCACCCCTTTCCCGAGTGCAATGGGTAGATTCTCATCGGAATTCCCAAGATTACTTAAACTAGAACTCGTAGAATTTTCCTCCACAATTTGTAAATCAAATGTAGGGATATTTACCTCGAGTTCGGATGCTTGGCGATAGCTGTAAATCTATCGAAGTCTTTGATTCCTTCAACTTTCCTCTTTTTCTATGATAGACAATTATATTGGGAGACGTAGAATCAATTGGTTGCGGTTCGGGTTCGGGTTGGACACTTGGAGATAGGGTAGAAGCACTTTCGGGTGGATAAGGTGTATTTGTAGTTTCGCATGTTTACGGGATGCAATCTATGCTCTCTAAGAAAAGCTGATATTCTTGTGGTTTACTTTGACTAGAACTCTCCCCATGAATATCAGTTTTGATGTAATAGGATTTTAATTCAAAAAATATAGCATCCATGGTGTAATAGAATTTTTGGTTGTCGGGACAAAAGCATTTGTAACCCTTTTGGTTAGGAGAGTACCCTACAAAGATATATTTAGTGGATCGAGAGTCAAGCTTGGTTTGATGTTGTTGATGGATATGGACAAACATAGTACACCCAAATATTTTTAGAGGAAGAGTGGAAATTAGATGACTTTGAGAAAAGTGTTGTAAAAATACTTTATGTGGAGTGAAAAAATCTAGTACTTTTGATGGAAGTCGAATGATTAGGTATGCTACTGTAAGTATAGCCTCACCCCAAAAACGTTTTAGAACATTGGATGAAAATGACGGAGACCTAGCAATATCCAAAAGGTGTCTATTCTTTCTCTCGGCTATCCCATTTCTGTGAGGGTATCTACACATGAACTTTGGTGTATGATTCCCTCGGTTGATAGATATGAGCCAAGATTAGAATTAAAAAACTCCCTTTCATTATCGGTTCTAAGTATTTGAATGACGAGTTTGAAATTGATTTTTAATCATTGTGTTGAAATTCTTAAATATTTGAGGGACATCCGATTTATTTTTCATGAGAAAAATCCATGTGAGTCGTGTGTGATCATCTACGAAAGAGATCAACCACCAAGCCCCTGTGACATTTGGAACTTGGGATGGGCCCTAAACATCAATATGGATTATAGAAAAAGGTTTTGATGCTTTGTATGGCTGAATAGGGTATGAACTACGAGTATGTTTTGCAAATTGACAAATTTCACACTTGAAAAGAACTAGAATTTTATTTCTTAATAAAATTGGAAAAAGCTTAGACAAATACATAAAGTCCGGGTGTCCTAACCTGTAATGCCACACCATGATTGATCTCTCACTCTCGGTTTTCAACTCACTAACGGACAAGCAAGAATCGGTTTTACTAGAAATAAGGTTACTCATTCCTAGGTGAGATTGTCTCACGGAATCCGGTTAAACCTCGAGATGATAGAGCCCAACATGACTTCTAGTACTGCCAATCATCCTCCCCGAAGTCACATCCCGAAATTCACAAACATGAGAAAAATTAGCTAGACGAGTTAATATCTTAGGTAATTTTATATATAGAGAGTAGGTTGCAATCTAGATTAGAAACATATAGAACAAATTTGAGTGCAATGTCCCTGGATACCACAACCAAGCTAGTCCCTTCCACTTTTGCCAAAGAACCATCTGCAATTCTAACTATGAGAGCATCATTACGGGGAGAATATGTGTGAAAAACTCGCCTATCTCCTGTCATGTGATCGGAAGCACTAGAGTACAATCCAAGGCTTATAGAGCTCTTGTTTGATAGTCAAAGCCTTAAGAAAATTACCTTTTTGAGCTATAGAACCCGACCCAATAATTGGTGGATTCTGTTGTGATTGCAGTAACCTTCTTAGTCCATCAAGTTCCTCTCTACTAAGAGTTGCAGCCTGCTCTAAATTCCTGGCCATGTTACCTCGAACTTTATTCTCTACTGTTGTTTTCGGCTTCCAATCAGCTGGTTTTCCATGGAGTGTCCAACAGGTTTCTTTGGTGTGACCAGGGCGGCGACAATGTTCACACCATGGCCTTCCCCTCTACGTGGCTCCTGTTGATTTCGGACTGCCAAGGCTGATGACTCACCACTAGCAACTGATTTTTCTGTCCCCGTCATCAAGTGATGTCTGCTTTCTTCCCTTCGGACCTCAGAGAAGGCTTCACGCATGTTTGGCAGTGGTTTTGTGCTAAATATCCTTCCTCTTACAGCATCAAGACTAGAATTCAATCCCAAGCAAAATTTGTAGACCCTTTTGTTTTCTATGATCTTTTTGTGTTGTTTGAGATCATTAGTAGTGTCCCAAGAATATTTCTCAAAAGCATCCAGCTACTGCCAGCTTTGTTGGAGTTTGTTGTAATACTCGATTACTGAGATAAGTCACCTTGTCGAAGATCATGTAAGACGCTCTCAATTGCCACTAGTTCGGGGGTGTTGTCTTTGTGAGAAAAAGTATCTTTTGCTGCTTCCCAGACTTCTGCAGCAGTTTCATATAGGAGAAAATTTTCTCTTATATGTGGCTCCATGGAATTCACTAACCAAGACATAACCTGGCTATTATCTCTCTTCCAGATCCTGTACTTAGCATCTTTTTCATCTGGTTTGGTGATATTTCCGATTAGATAATCTTCTTTTTCCTTGCTGCGGACATGAAACATAAAGGATTGAGACCATTGGATATAGTTTCTACCATTGAGTTTGTAGATGGTTATGGGTGCGGATGAGTAGTTTGCTATGTCTACCCCATGGTTGTTGAACACAACAGTTTCAGTATTGGAAGATTTTGGGGTTTCAATAGAGGATTCATTGGTGCTTGTCATGTTTGGTCTTGGATGTTGCTGCTAGAATAAGATAAAGGATGGATTGGGAATGAGATAAAGGATGTATTGGTTGATGAATACTGCTGGAATAAGCATTGTAGAGATTGATGAATACTGCTGGAATAGGCAGAGTATAGAGCTGCTGGAAAAAAAATTGGTGAAGAATTGACTTAGGACGGCTGTGGGAAGAACAGGAGGCGTCTAGGGTTGCTCTGATACCATGTGAATAATTAGGTTTGAATGACCTCAATTTTTATTATATTAGAACACGTATATATACACAAAGAGTCCTAAATATTAGGACTTGTTTCCTACTTTAAGGAGGAAATCTTGCCTAACATATTCTAAACAGGAAACAAATATACATCTAATTACATTGATTTACAACCTAATTCCTAGCTGATTAATAGCAAAGAATCCCAACAATTGGTATATTCTCTAAATTCCAAAGTCATGAACTTGAGTGCTAATGCTTGTTTTTCTTTTAATTTCAATATCCATTTGTAATGGATCCAGCTGTATTTTAGGTATTTTTTCTTTTAGGTTCTTGTTAAAACTAGAACATTCTTTGGTCTTGTACATAGCTTTACTTAAAGCTTGTTATCCAGATTATTTTCTTTTAACTTCTTTCTTTTCATTCAAAATTTCTTTCGGAGTTTTCACTTAACAAGTTCTAAGCAGTCCTTGTATCGCTCATTTTGTTTTGTTTTGGAGGGGCTTGTGTCTGTGTGTAATACTCTCCACCATCTGATTTTTCTGCTTTCTTTGTTGCAATGATATATCCAAGTGGATTGCCAAAGAGTTGGTTGTGTTATCAAATCTCATTGATCAGGCAAACGAGAAGGGATGGAGAAAAGAATATCCTTTGATGATGTGATTTTTCACACAACTGGGGTTACTGACAGACGTTGAATACAAGCAATGACATGAACTGCTTTAACGTTCCTCTTAGCTAGTATATTCTGTGAATTGGAAATTGCACCGTCAAAACATGTTAAAGAATCTTTCTTTTCCTTTTTGGGTTGGTCAAGGGTCATGTATGCCCACATTTCAAATGTTATGTGGTTGATATAAAGAACAAATAATTTACTATACTCATCTCAATTAAAAGGAAATGTGACCCTTAACCATCATATTGCATACGTTTTCTGCATACATGGATAGAAAGCTTCTGCTTCAGACACCTGTAGAACAATCAAGATTGTTACATGAGGTTCCAGAAGTAATTGCAGATAATATAGAAGGTCAACCTGCATGTAAGGACACGTCTACGAAGGATCGGCAAACTGACTTGCCAAAATCATCCCTTAAAGGGACATCACAACCTCCCATAAGAAGTTCAGAAGGCATTAAAAGTCCTCCATGCTGCCTGGATGATGGAGCAAATGTTGCAGGTTTGCTAGGCTTCTGTCATATTTTTTTACTTCCATAAATAGATTCTGCAAATTGTTTCTTCTTCTTTTATTCTTGATCAATGGAAGTTCAGGTAATTTTTGTGTCTCATACAATGTTAGTATGATTTAAATCAAAGGTAACCTGATAGATTATGACCTAAACTTAAGGTTCCTAAGTAACTGATAGTTTGGTTCAGGATTCTACTGTTTAGTCGATATAAGTTTTCCATCAATTTGCATCTTGAGAAGATTTTTAGGACATTGTGCATGTTCCACATTTAACTGAAGCAATTCTCTATAGCTTTTGATCTAGGTTTCGTTTTACAGGAAATAGAGACATTGTCACTGAAAACTCTGCTTCTGAACTCATCAAATCTGGTTCTGCCCACAAAGATGATCAAAGCAGAGAAATGGAAGAAAGAGGTTTGATATTGATTTTGTTTCTTTAGTTCTGACTTCTATTTTGTGGCATTATTGGTAGGATACTGGCACTCCACTCCCACATGTCTGAATTAGCATGTAACAATTCATATCAGGACAATTAGAGACCAAAAATGTCAAGCAAGACTTCTGTCTCACTTTCACGTAGAGATTTTCTGCTATCTCAATAAGGGGGTGAGATCACATGATTAATTATCTGAAACATAAACCACTCCTTGAATTATTCTCCCTTAAATCATAATTCATGAATTGTTTGTTTATAATAAAATCTTTCTTCTTTTTCAAGTATCTGAACCTTTGGGTGTTCTTATTTCTGTGATGTATCATTCTCATTTGAAAGAGAAAAAAAAATCTTAATAGTTGTTTTTTCCTTCTTTTTTCCATGAGTGGGATCATGTAGTGGGAAAATATTGGAATAAGTACATTTCTGGTGGGGTAATGGGGTTTCAACATAAGCAAATTAGTAAAATGAACACAACTCTATCCATTTGGTGTGTAAGAATCGTTACAAAAGAACTAAAACTAAATGTAATTGTACTGTTACTAAGACCTTCTCTTTTTTTTTTTTAGTGAAAGTTTTCTTTCTATTTTGGTCCTTGTTTTGTATTTTTTCTTTGTTTCAATCATTGAAATTTTGTCATGAGTGATTTTTTGTCCCTATCTTATGCTAATGCGTCTTTTAGTTTTACGGTTCATAAGCTCTTTTCGGTTTTTAGTGAAAGGTTTTTTTTATCTTTTTTTTTAATTTTCATTTTGTGATCTTTACTTTGTTTTGTTCATTGAAGTTTTGTCATATGTAATTTTTGTTCCTAATTTTTGTAGAATGAGTTTTGAAATATTTTAATTTCATCCCTATTTGGCAAAGTCTTTTTGCTTTTTTTTTTTTTTAGATGGTCTTTTTCTGTCTCATTAACAAACTATAGATGAAGAATAAATTGTGAAACTATGACCATCTAAGATTCAAAAACTTCGACATCATTATTTTAATTGCCAATTGTTATATATATTTCTAATAACATGTTTGTTTTATCAAATAAAATATAATTAGTAATATTATATTGCTCAACTTTGTTTTTTCTTTTTGGCTAACCCTACGACAACGCACGAGATATATGCTTTGGTTTCTCAATTTTTTGAATTTTTTTTCACATGGTCCTTTTAAATAAATGTTTTGTACCAAATGCCTCTTATTGTAGCTATGATTTTGTATATTCCTTTCTTATTATTATCACATAAAAGGTCAATCAGAGTCTCCTTATTTTTCATTCGTATAAAATAGATTTATCTAAAAAATTTGAAATAATCCCTTTTTATATTGTTTTAAACTTTCTTATTACTACTATTGCATGGGTTGTTAGAACTCTATATTTCATATAGATAAACACATGAGAAGCTTGTGTGGTCACTCTGTAGTAACGGATGGGATATATGTTAGTATGAATTATTTATGTCCCAAAGAACAAAGATTGAGTTTTATTAGTTTCTGATAAAAAACCATAGAACAAAGGTCGAGCAGTCTTCTTCCTGTTCTACTTGTGAGACATTCTTTTCTTTTCTTTTTTTCCAAGTTTTTTTTCTTATAAATGACATTTTTCTTTCAAAATAACTTACCATAATTTGTATAATTGTATTGTTGCATCTATTCATTTGCATTCTTTTTCTCGTGCTTTTATACTTATGTCTGTCCTTTTCACTTTGATGCTTCTCATATTGCCTTTTGGCTAAACTCTTGTACTAGATTCATTCTCTTTCTTTTCTTTTCTGGGTTTTGTTTTTTTACTGTTGTTCATCCTAGCATAGAAATGAATTGTATATATGCAACTGCATCGGTTTTTTTTATGTGGCTCAATCACACTCTTCCAAAGTTCCATGGCATGTCTTGCATGTTACTCTCATGTTTTTGTATCCTTGGATGTGAACTTGTTCCCATAGAAAGAGGCAAACACGCTTTTCCCCTGATCATCCAACAGTTGTTCTTTCATTTAAATCTTAGCTAACCAAATTCACTTAGGAATTCTGATTGTTTGAAAACAAAGCCCTGCAACAAGCTAGAAATGGGAACTTATGTTCTTTAGTTTACCCTTCTTTTTTTTTTTTGCCAGATAGCTGTAGGTTTGAGAAGGCCATATTTGAATTTTTTTAGGCTAAATGAATTATGAAGTAAATGAAAGCAAGCCAGTAAAGCAACATACCTTCCAAATGGATGCGAGTCCCTTTTTTGGAGACGCATAAGCCTCAAAATTTAAAACACAAACAATATCCTCCATCTACCTAAAACATTAAAATCAAAGTGATGAAGAAAAAAGATAGAAGACATACTAACATGATTGAAAAGATAGAAGATACACTTCAAGACACCTTTAGATGATGATCAGTATAAAACTAGACGGCCATACAACATTCCCAAGCTGTGAATGGGGTTTTAGTCCAAACTTCAATGGTTAAGTGCATCAAATTGAAAATTCACAAGCTTCACTTGAAATTGCTTTGGTGCTTGCTACCAAAAGCAGCTAAAAAAACTCTCTTGATATGCTTTTTCTTTTTCTATTTCCCTCTTGGCTTTTGATATACTTTCTCAGTGTATAATCTCCCTCATTTAAGCATTTAGCTTATCTCTGCATGTAAGTGTCACAACTCAGGAATGGCATCATTAACCTTGTCACCTCAGAAATAGCATCATTTTTTTTTCCTATTTCCTTCTTGGCCCTTGATATACTTTTTCAATGTATGATTTCCCTCATTTAAGCATTTAGCTTATCTCTACGTATAATGTCACAACTCAAGGATAGCATCATTGACGTTGCTAACTTGTGGCCTGGGATAAACAGAATGTCATTTTTGCTTTGCAGAGATTGTGTTCTTTTAGAAACAAGTCAACCTTTTCATTAGCTTTTCCTTGTCATACCATCATGTATCTAGTATTGCTTATGTTCATTTTCACCCATGGTTTGTTCATCTACATTTGGATTACCATGCAAAGATTTAGAACTTGGTGCTGTCTTTCAATGAATCTCATCTCTTGCAGTTCACATTTGAAATAAATAACCTAGTTATAACTCTGTCTTCGTGATATGGCTATTTACCATGATATTTTCTGGGAGTTCAGAAACTCGTATTTAGTGTTTGTTCTTTATTCCAGCAGCAAAAAAGCAGTACGAAGGGGCTTTTGAAGAAGTTCAACAACAATCACACACTAGAACTCATGGTGATAAAGATGATGGCATTATTCAGACCAAGAGGAAACAGTGTTTTGAAGAGGTGAACAAGAACCACTTGAGAGCATCCCCACCCAAAATATTCTCAGGACAAACTTCTATTCCTTTTTCTCAAGGCATGCCCAGTGCTTTTCTTCCACAGGAGCAATGCCAGTCTGTTACGATTGAAGAGGTAGACATTGAACGTCAAAACAAGAAGCAAAGAACTCCAAGAGATGGATCTATTGAGTCAAGTGAACCAAGATTTAAGTTGATTTCGTTGAGTGATAATGGAGAGGTAGATCCAAGTGTTGCAGCTAAACATACTGGTGAGGCATTGCTTACCTTGCTGTAATTGCAGTTACGTTTCTATAATTCTCTCTTTATGTCTAGTCCAGGGAATTCAGCTAATCATATTTTTCATGCGCATTATTCCTGCAGATAAGCAGCATTATAAAGGACCTGCATCTGAAGAAAACTTTCAATTGCACTCTCTTGGTCATGATACTAAAGATGACTGCAGTCTTCGAATAAAGAGGAACGAGGTTTGTCAAGTCAAGCACACCAATACTGGAGCAGTACATGTTGAACCCTTTCCAGCAAAAATTGTTGCTTCTATTTCTCCAGGCCAATTCAATGTCCTTCCACAAGAGCAATATCAGCCTGGTAATGATATTTCTGAGACAAAACAAAATGGACAGGTAAATGTTGCACTTGAAAACAAGAAGCAAAGTGCTCCAACAGCTGGGTTAATTGTGTTAAGTGATGATGAGAAGGAAGATTCAAGTGCTGCAGCTAATAAGCAAACAACTCAGGACATAAATTGCTCTATATGGTACTGTATTAGTCCTCATGGTATGAAAACAGGGCCTTACTCAATGTTAGTGCTTAAGGAATGGAGTGATGGTGATTCCTGTGTATTAAAATGGAAAGTTTGTAAGAGTGGTGAGAGCATAGAAGAAGCAATTTCTCTAAATGATGCCCTCCACCAGGTTTTCCATGGAAGGAAGTACTGAAGTTTTTCATCTTTCACTAAGTTACTACATGAAGTCTCCTAACCAACACAAAAGGATTTGTTTCCAAAGAATTAATTTGCTCAAAATGCTTATACTGTTCAGATTTTGGGATAATTTATATCTGCCCGTTAGCAGGTCACTTACATCAGGAAGTGTGATATGATTTATATGTACATAACGCTTACATTTCAGAAAGACTGTTATTAGAAACTTAGATCAGTTTACAGTTGCTTTTTTTTTTTTTTTTTTTTTTCTGTCAATGGTTTCTGACGAACCGGGACACAAATCAGTGATTGAGAAAACACAAAATGAAGAGAAGTATAGCTACTTGTTTCATACATGAAATGAAAGTGGAATTGATGCTGCCTTACTGCATGCTTGACAATATTCTTACTTTATACATGCGTGTTCATTGAAAACTAGGTCACTGATGTTGGATAATTTGACATCATCAATTTTTAGACACAAGCTTACAGGTTCTGTCGGTGCATTATGTTCATAGGGGTAAGTTTTTTGTTGCTCCTTATTCTCCAACTTAAGGATTAATCTGTTTTTTTATGCATTTGTGGAACGAACAGATTAAGGAAACAAAAAATATGGAAGATTACGTAGTAAATAATAAACACAAAAATGGTTCTGCATGGTTTTTTTAAAAAAAAAAAAAAAAAAACATGTATTGTAACTCGGAACACAATACAATGGAGCCAAAAATAAATCATGGTATGAATTGACAAATGTCTTTTAAAATTTCGTTAATGATATAAATCAAATAAATATTTTACAATAATAATGGATAATAATCTTTCAGAATTATTGGAGTGTATATTAAAGGGTTTGATGCATCGGTAATTGATATTAGATATTGATCATCTGATATGAGTTTTTTCAATATTTCAGAATTGAAATTGCTAATTCTAAATTAATGCAAACTTATATTTTTAAAAAATCAGTTGAAATGGTTTTTGATTTACACCCCTTATTTTGTCCAATGTTTGTTAATATATATATATATATATATATATATATATTCTACAATAAATAAAAAAATGAAAAAAAATACAGCATCTGATAAATGAAAACGTAGAAAAAACGTTATCATATATACTTAATGTTTTTTTCAAAATCTCAAATAAAATTTTAAAATATAAATTTCAATGCTACCAATCAAATGAAAAACAATACAAATGCAAAATAACATAATAATTCATTCAATTGCTATGAATTAATAAGTCACTCAAAACATAGTTCGATGCAGTTGTCGCGCGTTAATAATCGTACGAAGATGTGATAACGCTAATATTAATGACAGGTTAATGCACGTGATATTCCAATTATACCCCTATATTTTTCTAATTGCATTTATTTTATCCTTCCATCCTTAATCATATTTTAATTAATATCTCTTTTTTTTTTTTTTGGTGAGGCAGCTAACGTGTTCACAATAGCACGAAGTAACAAATAACTGGTTATTCTTTAATGGTGGAATACTCGAATGTTAACTTCATAAATTGGGTTTTAGGATTTTCCCTTTTCAAGTTTATGATTTGGGAATTTATCAAGAGACTGGTTTTCCTGACCACATGATTTTCACATGTATTATTCAACTATTTTGTAATATTTTTCTTTAATCTAATAGAATGTTTTGAATTATTTATAAATAAATAAATTTGAATATTTATTCAATTAAAATATTTCAATTTTAAAATCTAAATAGTTTTATATAAAGTTTGATGATTTATAATAAAATTAGTCTGTTTTGTTTTCAAAACATTCAAATTTAACTACAATGCAATAAAACTTCCCACTAATTTATTTATATGTATAGTTAAAAATTAAAATAATATTTAGACAATATGATTAATAATATATAAGACAAATGACTTTAAAAACCATGTACTTTGATGACAAGAACATTTTGTATCCTTATTTTTCAAAAATTACACTTGACATTTTTTTTTTTTTACAATGAATTTTTAAGCTGGTAAATTATGAAATGCATGCCAACTATATATATATATATATATATATATATATATATATATATATATATATATATGTATATATAGGTATGTATATATATATAGGTATGTATGTATACCAGCTTAGCATAACCCATCTCATTCTTAAATTTCGCTTCTCTCTCTTTAAAGAGAGAGGAACCTAAATAAATAAATGAAAAACGTTGAATTTAACAATAAAATCTCTTGAAATCATATTGTTTTCTTGTGTGTTCTTCTTGATTAAATATGTTTGTGGTTGTTTATACTCGAATTGCACTACCGGAAAATCGACAATTAATGATGTAAGTTAGCAATGGAGTTAATCCGTCGTCTTTTACCTACTTAATAGCAATTGAATAACAAAGGAAAAAAAATCAAATAGCGACGATTTTGAGAAGAAAATGTAACGACGAATACATTCTATCGTTATTGAATAATCAATGACAGATTAGCAACGACCTTGCGAGAGGATTTAGCAATGAAAAACAAACTCCGACTCTAAGCACAATGTTGGGGCAAGCAACGGTGCATGTACGTCATTATTCATCGATGGACACCATACCATTGGTAATTAGTAAAACTTGTGAAATTTCGTAAACAAAATTAGTAGTCGTTGAAAATTTAAATCAGCAACAGATACGACCCTTTTATCATTACTTAGCAACGAATTAGCAATCGAACACAATTCCGTCACAAAATTTGGCGAATTTCTCAAACTTTCTAGACAATTCGAGCAAATGTTTAAATTTCAAAATAGCAACGGACACTTACTTCCGTCGTTAATTAGTGACGGATCGGCGATCAAACATAATTTTTTCACAAATTTTGGTTAATTTTTCAAACTTTCTAGACGAGTTCGAGCGTACCTTTGAAATTCAAAATAACGACGGACACTTATTTTTGTTGTTAATTAGATAGTTAATACCAAACAAAGTAAATATTAAGTCTTCATAAATGTAAAATTTTACTCTCATTTATAGCTAAATATAAATTCAACATCAACATTGATTTAAAAGATTAATTATTCGATAAATATATACGAGAAAAGACAAATATATATATATATATATAATCGAATTTGGATTTTTCAAGTGTCGAGAAGCATGTTCTCTGCCTCTATCCGGTTTTATGAATACCTATCAAGGCAAGTAATGACTAAAAGAACAAAATTTTAGTTAATTTGAAAACCAGTTCTTAAGCTTTTAATTTATATTTTGACATTTTTTTTTAGATTTACTTCATCTTATGATTTTTACTTATCACCTCTTCCATCTAAAAAATTCAACTCTTGATATTTTGATTTGAAGTTTTGCACATTTGTGAAAAATCCAATCCATTTTCTAGAAAAAATTCAAAATTTTTAAATGTAGAAAATTATATTTGTTTATCTTTTAAACAATAAAAATATAGAAAATAAAAAAAATAACTCAAAAATGATTTCAGAATTTTTGAAAAGCTCAAGATAAATTTTACTGAAAAAATTTTATCATGGAAATATTTATAAAATTATTATATATTTTTTTATATACACATGGCCAAAAATTGAAGAATGAGCTAAAATCTCCCAAAAAAAATAATAGTAAATTAAATAAAAAATAAAATTATAGGTAAAAGTTAAAAAAAATTGATTTTTAAATTGATTAAGAGTTTAGGAAAGGTATGCTTCTTTTAGCGGCGGGTTATTTTTATATTCCTAAACCCACGTAGTAGGTTAAGGTTAGGGTACAAAGTCGCTAGAATTATTGGATTAAAAAAAAAAAGGAAAAAAAACCTACCCTTTAGCTTTAAGGCCAATAAATAGACTCCACGTAAATGAGAAAAGGCTAAGACATTCAACGATCATGGGAATTCTTCAAATACCATTTGAATGGTAAAGATTTCAACACACATCATTTGAATAGCCGTGGCTGGCAAACCTGTTTCAAAACAAATTTGGTACACTGTCCTATTTAACCTCTTTTTTATTTTTTTATTTTTTCTTTTTAATAAAAGGCATTTCAGCCAAAAAAAAAAATTAAAATAGATTGAACATTTTAAATATATTGAAGTATAGATGAGATGCAATTAAAAATTCAGAAACATATAAAAGATATTAGGTATTATATAACAATAAATGGGTATGTTTACTCAAATTAAAACTAAACATACTCATTTGTTTTTATATAATACCTAAAGTCTCTCATTTATCCTTAAATTTTTAATTGCACCTTATTTATCTCTGAATATATCTGAAATATTTAATGTCCTTCAGTCATAATTTTTCGGCCAAATAAAAAATTTTCTTCGAAATGCTTCTGATTGAAATACAAAAATAAAATAAAATAAATAAAAAATAAAAAATGGAACATTGAAGTCATGCGACTTTAAACGTTTTTTGTGTTTTTATTATTTTTTAATTTATTTTTGCATTTTAATAAAGCACATTTTGGTTTTAAAAAAATTGATCAAAATGATAGGAACTTTTCAAAAAAATTTCGAGATAAAATGAGAAGCAAATGTAAATCTAAGAATTAATGAGAGATATTAGGTATTATATAAATACAAATGGGTATGTTTATCCAAATTTAGGATAAGCATACTAATTTTTATTTATGTAATACCTAATGTCTTTCATTTATCTCTAAATTTCTAATTACATTTCATTTTTTCCTAAATGTTTTTAAAATTTTTAATCTGTCCTTCTGGCCTAATTTTCTGAATATATATATATATATATATATATATATATATATATATATATATATATATATATATTCATGGTTCATTTCAATAATATATATATATATATATATATATTATTGAAATGAACCTAATTGAAATGCAAGAAAATAAAAAATAAAAACTTAAAAGACTTCAAAAATAAAACATCGAGGTTATGCAACTTAAAATGCTTTTTTATTTTTTTAATTTATATTTTCATTTTAGGGGGAAAAAAACCTTAAGATTAAAAAAATTAATTAAAATGACAAATTAAACATTTTAAAAATTTTTAATAATAAATGAGATGCAATTGATAACCTAAGGTCACATGAGATTATCAAAAGACAAATTAGAGATATTAGGTATTACATAAAAACAAATAAATATGTTTATCCAAATTAAAAATAAACACTCATTTATTTTTATTTATTATCTAATATCTCTCATCTGTCTCTAGATTTTTAATTATATTTATATTTAAAATATTTAATCTAATTTTTAAACTTAATTTTCTAACCAAATAATTTTTTTTAACCAAAATACCTCTGATTAAAATGAAAAAAAAATTAAAGAATTTGATTAATCAACTGTTATATAGTCCAACAGATAATTAACTCTGTTAACATTAAAAGGAACATACAGATCATTAACCCTATATACAGTGAAGGCATTTGTTGGTGCTTTTATCATGTTTGAATTTAGAGCCAATTTGAGGATAACTTCGTTGGGAGCTTTATCATCAAGAGCCAATCAAAATAAAAGTTGACAGTCGAGAAAATATTATTCAAAGAAAAATAAAAGCCATCTGAAATTAGAAAAAATCAGCTGCCCGATAAAATACGTGAAAAAGGAACGTACCTGGAAACAAGATACATATTTTCAAATAACACAAAGAGAAGAAAATACCACTCAATATAATAAGACAAAAAGTGTAAAGAGAGTAATATTTCCATCGCGAGGAGGATCCTAATTACGAAGTTACTATGACTGGAAAACAACAAAAAGAGCAAAATTGATAAAGGAAATAACACTAAACACCATCTTCTTTCAAGTTTAATTCTTCATTCATCCTCCTGGCTACGCAACCTAGCAAGCTTGTTAGTAACAACAATATCAAGCTGAGCAGCTCGCTCCACAATCTCTTTCCTCTTCCTTGTTGACACATTATGTGCTATCTCAGCACAGTAAGTTCTGGAATACGTGAAAGAAAATATAAATCAATGAGCAAACAAGTGAATTTCTGACATGGTCTAAAATACTTTTAACTAGAGCTCATTTTACCTGTTGTGCATCATCAACACTTCAAGCTCTTTCACATTGTGGACAACAAATTTCTTGAACCCATTTGGAAGATAATGGCGAGTCTTCTTATCAGAACCGTAGCCAATATTGGGCATCAGAGTACATCCTTTGAACTTTCTTCGGACTCGAGAATCAATACCCTTTGGCCTACGCCAGTTTGTCTGTCAAAGATTAATTAGTTGACAACACATTATGATTACTCAACGTTGAGATAGTAAAGAAAAAGTTAGATTTAGTAACATTGAGATAAGGAAAGGTATAGGAAACAAATGAAAGATACCAGCTAACAGGTAAGAATAAGTTAAACATAGGTAGCCAGACTCGTGAATATAAACATATAAACCAAAAAAGATAGTAAAGAAAATAAAAACAGATAGAAACCAGTAAATCCTCAAGGATCATTAAATTAAGCACAAGTAGTAATCCAAGAGCCAAGGGGACACAAGAAAAATAGCAATGAAACAGATGATGTCAATAGACAGATGTAAGCAGGGTTAAAGTAACAGTAAGCTTGTAAGGTACCAGCTTACTGTGTCGCAAGACCTGTTTAAATTTTGTTTCTGCCCTTACACACGAAATGCCCAGCCACAAAAATAAAAACTGGACATTAGATACCATGGGCAAATCAATACATCCTAAGAAATTTAGAGATGAGAAACTAAGCAGAAAGAACAGGACATAAAATTATAATAAAAATCTGCAACCTCAGCCGAAAGATGGTGATTTTTTATGATCATCACAGAACAATCCGAACTGAAAAACAATTTGCATCATGGATTGCAGTAGGAAAAAACAGCTAATATATATAAAAAACAAAATCTAAAGCCAAAACTTTATAGCCACGTAGATATGCAAAGAGATCAGATGGTAGTGCATGTATAGAATTCATCATCTTATTGCAGAAATAGTGGATAAATATCCTCACATCTAATTGCATATCTCCAGAATTGAAAACCCTTCTTAGAACTTAAAAAATAATAAAAATAAAAAGGTTCAAAAATAAAAAATAAGAAGACAATATTTTCCATGAAGGATCAGATAAAAAGATTAATCACCAGCTTCCATTAGGAAATAAGACTGGGTGTCAAAAAAGATTCATCATATCCCTCAATGCAGCAAAACAAGTACAAAAACAGGACTCCGACTCCTATCTTGAAAACAAAACAAGAAAACTAAAAGAAGCTTTACATATCAAGCAACAATATAGATTAAAAAAAAGGGCAAAAAATTGGTTTCAGGCATAAAGGGATCAGAGAAAAGGTCAATCTTTATCACCACCTTTCATCAAGATATGAAGGTAAGACTGGGTGTCAAAAAGAAGTATCATCATGCCCCTAACAAATTCAGTAAAAAAAAAAACATCTTTCACAAATTTTTGCAGAAAAAACTATATAATTACTCGGATTAAAAAAACAAATAGAAGTAGAATTTGTTTAGCCTGTAAGAGATCAGATAGTCGATCGCTAGCTCACCATATTGCAACCAAATAAAGAAGCAAGTGAGACTGGGTGTCAAATGGGCTCTTCATTTCAAGGCTAAAAAACTAATTTTTAAAACGTAAAAATAAAATCATAGACCTAATAGTACAGTAGTCCAACATGAATAAAAGGAATCAGACAATAAATGTCAATCACCATCTTGCATCTCAAAGTGCAAGTAAGACTGGGGCGACAACTAGTATCATCATTTTCCTTACAAAAAATCAAACAAATTCCAATCCCAATCCCAACGTTATAAACAAGACAAGCAACATGATAGTGAAAGAAAAGGATAGGATACCTTGACAGAGATCTTGCGGTCACTTTGCGGTCTCTTGAACTGCTTAAGTCTCTTCTTAACAATCTTCTTCGTAAGCAACGGAACCGCCATTTTCACTTACCTTCCTGCACTCAAACAAAAAGCACATCTATATTCGTTAGTTCCAGCACCATCCATATATGAGGTCTGAAAACCCTAAAAGAGAATATAAACTGACAGAGAAAACTCACAGTGATTTTGCTACGCCGCCGAGGTTCAGGAGTGAGGCTTCGCTCCAGCTTTATATAAAGGGCGAGGCAAAGCATATTAGGGTTTTTTTTTCCCCACTGGGTCAAATTTAAAAAGATCTGGACCTTCGTTATAGGACCTATCAACGGTGGAGAATTATGGTTCTCCTCATTACCTGTCATGCCTCTGTTGGTACTTGGTAGCAACAGATGGTAGTTGGGCCTTACGGGCGTCTGGTTTGTACAGTTATTTGGAAGCCCATTTTTGTACCCTGCAATTTTAGACTATTTTCCCTTCTCTTTTTCTTGAACCTATCTATGTGGTCAAAGAAAAATCCGAAAGAAAAGAGGAGCAATTATGTGGATAAGAAAAATAATACATTGTAGGAAAAAATATTAAATAAAGAAAAGGTCACTAACCTATTTTTACTTCGAAGTAAACCCATTTGCTCAGTTTTGTAAACTGGAATGGAACCATAAATATTTACTATTATATCAATTTTTTCTTTTTCTGTATGGGAAATGTCAATATTCTTAGGAATATAAGATTGTTGAGGGAAAAAAAAAACGATGTCCAAATATTTCAACCTCACCTTTCCAAAGAAAAGACTCAGAATAAGGACTCGTGTGGCATTTGGAAGTGTGTCCAATCCCTGGAAATCTAGCAATTCCTTGCCAACAAAAATGAAGCAGCCCTTCTCTCATTTTGATTCCCTCCTGCTGTTCTTTGTCCACCTCTCAGTTGGTCCACACAATTTCTGGGTAAAACTCACTCAAAACAATTTTCTGGGGAAAATGATTACATAAAACAGATCACATATTTCTGATTTACATAGAATTCTATACATATTAGGGGGTCAAAAAAAAATAATAATAATAATTGTTATTCTGTTATCTCCATTACACAAATCTTCTCAAGAGGACAAGCATTCATCAAGGAACCGTAAATAGAAGAACGCAGTTCATATGAGTTGGGAGATGATGGGACAACATCAATCCACTCCTTATCAACCACCTCGACGTGCAGATTTGGCTTTGGGATTGCATAGAACTGGAGTTTATGGATTTGTTGCGCCAGCAACTTCATGAAGTTCAAGGAAAATATCATGTCAAAACTTCCTTCTAGATCTTTTGTATCTTCGCCAATTTTGATCCCTATTTCTGCTTTGCGTGAGTTAACAAACCCAAGTAGAAGTGAACTCCCAGCAAAATATTTTTGGCTGCTACTGCAAATCTGGAAGAAGGTGCAGCAACTGGTCATAGAACGATTATGCCAATGATGGAAAGACATGACGTTGAAAACTACTTAGTTTGCATATGAAACACACATTCCAGAATCATGCGTGGAGCCAACATCAATATCTATAAATGAAAGAAATATAGTACTGGAATATCTTTATAATCTCCATACAAAGCTTTTTCATTTAGCTATGCTGAAATCATCTATGCCACAAGACCAAAACATGCCTATCATGATGAGAAACCCATATTTCTTTGGAAAAAGCTACACTTTTGTTTTGGTTATTTGAAAAGCATGATCCTGTAGTCTTAGCATGCTGTGATTGCAAATAAAGGAGAATGATAAAAAGATAGTTTTTTTTTTTTTTTTGATAATTAAAAAGAGCTTCTGGCAGAGCTATTTTATAAACTTCAAATATGCTGCCTGCTGCATATTGTTGATATCTGTGTATGATCCTTTAAATATGATATTGCGCAAAAAAAAAAAAATCTACCAAAAACCAATAGCAGAAGTTTTTTTTTTTTTTTGTCCCACTTGCTTGTAATGTGAAAAGTCTAAAATATAATCTTAACCATACGAATAAAATTACAAAGAAATGTCTAACCTCAATATACTCCACACCCATTTCGCTGAGATTCTCTGCAATATTGACAGAAGAAAGCAAGCTAATAACTCCTCCAGATCCAACTGGTGATTGCAGCATTTCCCATGGTGACTTCATCATGATTTTATGTCTCTTCTGTTCTTCTTCAGAACTGTTAACAACTGGAATTTTCTCTTCTTCCAAAAACCATACCTGTAAGAGGGTTGAAACCTTTAAAGACCCAAGTACATAGAACAAAAATGAACCGCTAAAGGAGAGCTTGCAAGTTTTTTCTACTTCAACTAACACATAACAAGAACCAAGGGCTCAGATTCACATGCATGACAAGTTGTCAGAAACACAGCTTGGAGTTCTGCTAGGTTAGTGATCACCTTCTGTATATTCCAACATCATAAGAGTCCACGCTAATAGTGTTAATTAAACCATATATATTGGGGCTAAAAATCGATTGAATATTTAAGGAGACAGTCAAACAATTGGTCAGACCAGGCTGAATTTTGAAATGAAATCCCATTAATTCCATCCTATTAGAATAAAGCAGAATCAATGTAATCTTAAAGAAATCAATACAAAACTCCAGCTGTAGCTCTACCGATAGTCTGATATAGTGCTATACCATTACAAGATGCCAGCATTCGATCCACTTAATTCAAGAAATCAAGTTGCTGAATAACCACCCTTAATCTGCCACTAGATGTTATCTAACTTGGAGGGAGAGGTGACAATTTTAACATCTACACTTACGTTGTTGGAGTTGAATGCGAAGTAATCATTATTTGAGAACAGCTTTTCCAAAGACTGGATTTCTTGCGCAGGGCAAACCAAAATCAAAGGCACAGATGCACGGTCTTCCATCTGCAATCAACACATGCTTGTCAAACCATGTTGTAAAATCTCTAAAGAATCCTGCTTAGATAATGCTAAGGGAAAAAAATCGTTGATCATTGCCAAACATCTTTAAGGCTGTAACTTAAAAAAAATAAAAAAAATACAACCTCAAGACATGCATATAGCAACAGGAGGGGGAAATAACGGTCACAGCCTCAAGAAATTTGCTAATAGAACAACAAAAGGGATTTTCTTCCAATCATCATAATAAATAAAATAAGAAAGAGCTTTATGTACAAGATTTCAGAAATGAGTATCACCTTTACAAATGTCTGATCATCAGAAACTAATTTTTGAAGGAAGAAAAGCAGTGAATTCTCACTACTTTCAGAGTCAACTACACCAGGATTATCCCCTTTTTCCTTCTCAATGTCATTCAAAACTAAAACGATGGCCACCTGTCCTTTAGAATAGAGAGACGATCCTTTTTCTTGCAATTTGAAATTCGCTCCCAATTTCTCTTCATTTGCACAAGTGATGAACTCCTTTGATATCTTCAAAGAACTTTTTGTTACCTTGGTTCTTGTGGCACTGATTAACTCAGTTGCAAAGCATCTGATTCAAGCAGACAAAAAGCCGAGGTTCAACACATCTGGCATCGGCACCATATAACACCAAAGAAGAAACAAAGAGATTCAACAAGTCTATAAAAGAAATAGTATGAATCCTCATAAGGCTTCCTCATCTGAATGAAGTTTTGGCTCAATGAAGTACAAACTAACAATTCCAGCTTCATCTAGAGAAATAAATACAACCATGATCTACAGAGTTAAAAGAATTCATTCAGGAAGATATCAAGACAGAAAAACCAGCTATTCCGAAGAGCATAATGTGAGTAGCATAGACTTTAAGCAGCAAAATACCACAGGTTTTCTCAATTAAAATAGTGATCATAGTTATAGGTTTAATGCCTCACACAAGAAGTTGGATTCAATAGGCTCCAAAGTTGTTTCAGATGAAACAATAACTTGCATCTTGTCCAACTTCTGTGTGAATCCAAACATGAAGAATATATGAACTTCATGCAAAAATCACCTCTTAGAGGATATCTCTATATTTTCCAAGGCTTGTTGAAGCAATTTGGAATTTACACCAACAATCTGGTCTGCCAGTAACCCCCTTTTAGATTTGTCCCCATATCTGAGTCCATCAAATACATGCTTTTGGTCCATTTCAGAGAGTTTCTTCTTAGCTGCTATAAGGCGTCTTTGGAATTTCTTTCTCTCTCTCCAATCCTGAAATGTGTCAAAGATGCCTCTTGAGCCCCAAGCACCAACCAGTGCAAGTGTATGCTTAAGCATTTTTAAGAAGGGGAAAAAAAGAAACAAAGAAAAATGGATCCACAATTACGATGCACAGCTGGAACATGCCCTGACAAAAATATGGAGGGGAGGTGTTTGGAATTGGGAAACAGCAAAAAGTGCTTACATATGGTGCCCTAACAACTTAGCATCAAAAAACCATCAGTCCACATGGGTATCAAACTTGAAAGCTCTTTCTAATCTATACAGAAAAGTTGACTAAGCTAGTCCCCTTGGTCCAAATTCTCCACTTTTCAATCCCATGTTAACGCCAAACTTAAATCGAAATTATTTCACTCACTGCATACACAAAACCAACTAAAAAATCTGGGAAATAGTGGTATTTGCAGACAATAAATATACAGAGCGCTTCAATCACATGACCATTTTAGGAGTAGCCTAGGCATTTGAAATGAAACAGATACTGTACTTTTGAATGGCTCTACCCTAAATTTGATCGCTAAAGTATCATGTTACTGATTGATCAACAGCAGACCAATCTGGAAAAGGTGAAACAAAGGGGTCCTTTTCTTCTATCCTAAGAGAAACCTAAAATCCAAAAGTTAGCAAGAACTAAGCAGCATCCATAAGATGAGATGGGAAGCCAGATATCAATTGAAAATGGCCAAAAAAGCATATCATACCCACTTTGTGCTGCATCAACAGTGGCATATTGAAAACATGTATCTGAAAGTATATCATGGCTAAAGAAGTAGGATTCTGTTTTAAAAAAGCCACTACTCTCTTTCTCTAAAACATGGGGTGGTGGAAAGGGGAGTGAGAAAATAAATTGTCAGCTATGAGAATAAACCATGCTTTCATATAGATTAATATCAGATATGAGAATAAACCATGCTTCATCTCAAAGTAATTGCTGTCGACAATTAAGCTTTAAACAACATATAAAGGAGTATGCCTCACAAGTTCGCGCCTTTCTTTCTTGGACCTCTCATCCAGGCGTACGTTTAACTCAAGAAGTCCTTTTGGAGGCGTAATCCTCATTTCTCTTTTATTCATATCGACATCTGGAACAATTGCTTCAACAAAAGGTATCCAAGCAAGGTGACCAGATACCCCTGATTCTGCTGGCTTTGACTTTTCAGTTCCATCAGGCACATCTGAAGATCTGTAGAGCATTGCCTGCAGAAGATCATTACCTCCATTGTCGAAAACATTAACAACAGTTCCCACACATTCACCAGTTTCCTGAAAAGGAGGCATTCAATTAAAGTCTTGATAAATAAAAGCTGGTTTATCCATAATGAACCAGAAAAGATAATAATATTCAAGCAGCAAGCACAAGAAGAAACGAGAACAAATAATGTGAAACGTAAGGACCAGACAAGCAAGATATGCTCAAAATATCATAATCAGAAAATTTAAATAGCATCAGAAGGATGGTTTGGGAAAACAACGGTGTTCGATGCTTACAATCTTTTACAGTTCATTTGTATTATAAATCAAAAAATGCTCAAGCGTAAATCATGAATGGGAAGCACTCTTTGGGCATTAAACTGCTCTAAATCCCTATACATAGAACTTAGGCAGAAAGAAAACACAGGTAATTACATAAAGTAAACATCTTTTGCAGAATATGACAATCTTAAAATGTACAAACCTTAAGGATCACTCTCATTCCAATGAGATCACGAGAATAAAACTCTCCTTCTTCTAACTCTGGCCTTTCATGTTCTCGTACAAGTAAAGTTGACCCAACAAGCAGCTTAGCCTGAACAAATCATAAATTGCTTTCATAAGATACATGAACTCATATTAATACAGTTTAATAATTTCTAATATATGTCTACATAATCAATTCAAAAAGACTAAAGTTTTACCTTTCTGTTTAAATAGTGCAAAACCAAGGAAAAATTGCATAGATAGTCACTTTGTGGTAGGATTTAGTTTGAGTTGAGTAGAGTGAATATATTAGTGTTGCAATCTTAAAGCAACCTCAGGTTCCCTATATCTTTCAACTGACACGGAAAGAAAAATTTACTCCAGAGTAAAGTTTGCACAGAAACTACAACCAGAAGCATCCTGCAGTACAGTGATAGTGTTTCACGGAGTCGAGAATTTTATCAATTATTTTTGGAAATTGTGCTGTCCGTCCAAACCTTTAACATGGAGATGTGCCATTAAAAAGAACATTCTGATTTGGTTTTTGAGCAACAATGTGAAATCACTAGAATATCACCAGGAGTTGGTTTTCAAATCAAACAGCTTTTAATCTATGCCATTTTCTCCTTGAAGTGAAATTCCATGGTTTTACAATCGCAATACTATGGCAACAAGGAGTTCATTGAAGCAGAAAAATATGGCAAGGTGACCCTGAAAATGCTATAGTCGAAACAGTCCGAGCATTCAGCATTTTACACTTTTGCATGTCATGGCTGCTCTGAAACTAAAACTAAACCATAATGGATGTAGCCCAAGATTTTAAACATTACATCAAACAACACAACGGCCCCTTAAGACGCATGTTCTAATGCTGAGAATACAAAGCCTCCGACCAAGAAAAACGAACTAAATAAGATAGAGTACTGTAAGACATGAAAAAGACATAAATAAGCTCACCTCATCCACTGTGTCGATTCCCCCAAATCTAAGTATCCAACTCTTGCGTCCATGGTGTCCTCTTCCTTCAACCAGCTCCACTTCCCGAATTACATCTTTGCCTGAAACTCGTTGCCTTAACCATCTTCTCCCAGGCTAAAATATAGCACCTTAAATTATTAGTATTACAATAAAACAATACATAATATGCAAGAAGAACAAGAACCCAGATGGAGAGAAGATTGTTTCTGTTACCTTGGAAAAGCGTAGCTCAGGAAAATCTGTAGTTGGTTTTACAGAAATCTCTCCCTGAAGGCCATGAACATTAGAAATATACCCAACTTCAACAAATTCTGATTCACTCTTTGAAGTTTCAACAATCTCTTGGGTAGCTGATATATGTAGCCGCCCCGCATGCACAGATTAAATTGAAATGCAACAGAGATTATACAAAAGAAACACTAGCAAGAATTAGCAATGAATGTAATAAAGACAGAGAGAGTGTACCAGTGCTGTGGAGAGGGGAAATGATGGGACGAAGGTGATTCCGTGGAGGTTTGAAGCGCAACAATTGTAGAGGGGAAGGAGGTAAGAGAGTGAGAAAAGGTCGGGTTCGAAGAGGAGAAAGAAGGGGATGGTTAGAGAATGGCAGCGTCGGAGAGCAGAGAAGTGTAGTTGCCTGCTGCATCCTTTTCTCTCAACAGGCACGGATTGTTCGTACAAAATACATGTACTTCTTAAAGAGATTGGAATAAAAAGGAAATTGTTTTTTGGGGGCTGATCTTTCTACTTAAAAGAGTCTAGACTCTAGAGGGAGCCTGAGTTTCTGGACCATCGCGTGAACGTGGAGTGTGTGCACTGTATTTTATTTTTAGAAATAGGATAAGAAAAATAAAGGATAAATTATGATAACTACATTATGTTTTCATGGCCAAAACCACTTGCACTGTAATTTTTTTTAATACTTTATTTTACACCTTAAAATTTAATAGTACACTTTACTCCCTAAAGTTTATTAAAATAATTACAAATTTGTCATTTAATACGTAAAATTGCTATGTTAATGTTTATAATGCTACTGTTGTAACCCAAATGGAGTTCATTTTATTATTATTATTATTCATGTTTGTGAAGTTTTCAGATTTAAAAATTATCAAGGGAAAAAAAAACAAAGAGACTAGGTATTCTTCCCAAGTAATACTAGTTTTTCAAAAAATTTCAAACCTAAAAATCTCTGTTTAAATTCCTTTTTCTATTAAGGAAAAAAAGAGGCTCTTAATAAATTGGATGGTTTCTATTATTTTTAAAGGAATTGATAATAAAGAAAGAAAAAGAAAAATAATAATTATTGAAATTGAAAAAGAAAAGGAATTAAAATATGGAGGAAATTGAGAGTAATTATAAAAAAAGTGGAGGTCAATGTAGAAATAGCAAAAACAGAAAGGGAACAAAACGAAATAAAGACCCATATGGAAAAAATCGAAAGAATAGACGACCAAAGGTCACAAGTTAAGGAGCATGATTGAAGAGAAAAGGAAAAAAAGGAGGACTAAAATAGAAAAAACATGCAAAGTTAAGGATCGACTTAAAATTTTGGTTAAAGGTACAAGATGTCTCTCTAGTATTTTATTTATTTTAATAGTGTCGTTCTACTAATTTTTTCAATAATCATGTCTTTCTATTCTTAATTTGCCTCTTAATTTTGTCTCTATGTCCATTTTTTCAAGCAATGATGTCAATTTCGTGATACGTAGCATTGTTTTTTTCCCCCTTAAATTCAAATACGAGTAAACAAAGTAATGACATGTGAAAATAACACTCCCAAGTTGCCCTCCTATTTAAAAATCTTGTATAAACCTCCATGTTCCCGTGTTAAAAACCTCAAAATTCCCAAACCATACAAAAATCCCTAATTTGTTTTCTCTCTCTAAATTATTTTTCCATCAAAGGCCTGCGTCGGGAGGAAGAACCACCGAGCACTCGAACTACTTGTGGTAGCAAAATCAAGATCATTGCTTTCTTCTTTATAATTACATAGTGGTGGAGTTTTGGCATCTCTTTGAAGTTATAGTTTCGATCCTATAAGCTAATGAGCGAGTATATCGATATCCTACAAGTTAATTTTCTCAAGTTTTCACTAGTCAACTACAACCTGGACTCGCCTTTTTGGATACCCTATTGTCCTATGCTTTTTAGAACAAATAACAAAAATTGATAAAGAGCTTGGAGGGACAAGATTTCTAGATGGCCAATTTTTCGGACCATTCATCTTCCTCTTATTCAATCATGGAGAACCAAACCTAACTATTTTCTTAAAGACAAAAGGACTATTATTTTTTTCCTCTATAAAGGAAAATTGTCTTCTAAGAAAGGAAAGGACAAATGGAGTACTAGGTAGAGAAGCCAATGGAAGTGAGGGCAATTGAGGTTTTAGGAAAAAAAGGTTTGATTTAGATTGAAATTTACAAAAGGAACGAGTAGTAATTATGAAAGGTTAGTGCTTTTGGACGAGACTAACAAAAAGGATCTTATGTTTTCGGGTAGCCTCATTATTTCTAATGTTTTTTATGATACTAGATGTGACAAAGGTGATAGAACTCGTTACAAATATGATGTTCTTGATTTCAATAAAGTCAAATTATTTTTATTTTTATTTTTTGATTGAATGGAGAGGCCCTAGCTCTAACATGGAAATTAACTCTTACATAGCCTTGGAAAAGCTATACCCCATATATCGTCTTGAAGGATTTTGCAACGGTCCCTATGTACATGCAAAAAATAAGTAATACCGAGCGACAAGGAAAATGCGTATGAGGCCGATCTATCCGTCAATCTATTTGCTTCTCGATAAATATGAACGAGCCGCACTTGTCGATCCTTGGCCAACATTATCTTTATTGCAATAACAAATGAACCATAACCGCCCACCCTCTATGTATGCGATCGAATTACTTGTATTGTTAACAGTGAATCTGTCTCGACCAACACTCGACGATAACCCAAGTTCCAAACCATCTCTAAACCAATAAAGATACCCCATAACTCTGCACAAAGAATAGGGCACACCCAAACATTATGAGAAAAGCCACTTATCCAACAACCATTAACATCCCTCAACACCCCACTAGTTGTAGACTTGAAGACATCCGACATGCCCCATCCGTATTTAGTTTTACCCATCCCCTTACCGGAAATGTCCAACAAATCAAATTTTCATGTCGTACCTAAATAGTTCTCTCCAAATTGTGCATCATTTCCACGCTACTCATTATTTTATTGTGTTTATTTTATTTCTTCATTTTTGCAAAGAGAACAAATTAGGGATTTTTGTATGATTTGTGGATTTTAGAGTCTTTCATAAAAGAGTCATTGATGTTTATACAGGATTTTAAATAGGAGCAATTTAGGGGTTATATTTTTCCATGTCATTATTTTGTTTTCTATATTTGAAATTGAGAGGAAAAAAAAAGTTACTAACATTTGTCAGCATCTTTTGCATCCTATGTCGAAAATTGATGTCGTTGCTTAAAAAAAGGACGGAGAGACAAAATTAAAGTGCAAATTAAAAGCAAAGAGACATGAATATTGAAAAAATTAATAGAAGGATACAATCAAGATAAATAAAATAGTAGAGAGACTTCCTAGACCTTTAACTCCTTAAATTTTTATTTATCTAAAAAGAAGTTGTTTTGCCCAAAAATTCAATCTCTTAAGTGAATTTCGACCTCATCGTTCATCTTATTCTTTCCCATGAAAAACCTAGCTACACCGGCATATAGACAAACCTAAAACACTTCTCTCGACCCAATTTTCCTATACCTCATCCCTTTTTCCCATGCCAACTCACTCGTACAAGCCAAGTCTTTCTCGTCCCTTCCTTGTTTTCACACCCAAAAAATCAACTTAAAATGAAAAAAAAATGATCACTCTTGAAAAGAGAAGAAGCCTTCTTTAGTTGAAATGAAAGAAATTGAGCCTCTCTAGTATGTCATAGGTAAAAAGTAGAAATAAGTCCAATTGAAATCAATGGCTACAAATGAGGAGTTTTTTTTTTAAAAAAAAAAACTTGACAATGTATAATGTTACAAGGGAGAGAATGGGAGGAGGGAAAAAAACTAGAGAATAAGGGAAAGAAAACACAAGAAAAACATAAAGAAAGGAAAGGTTTTGAAAAATAAAAGAAAAGACCACGATGAGGAAAGAGATTCAAAAAGAAAACAAGGAAAGAAAGAAAAGGAGAATGGGAGAGGGAAATGGTAAAAAAAAATAGACTTAATTATTGACTTTTTTTGTGCTATATTTGTGCTCATCTTCGTTCCCTACTCGCTCCACAATAGGTACATTTTTCTTCCTTTCTTACTTTTCCTTTTGCTTGTAAACTCGTTTCATAAATCTTGTTTTTTATTACCAATATTATATATAGTTTCTCCATAATAATTGCTCTAATGTTGCAATGACACATGAGTGTCTCCAAAAACTCTACATGGCTAAAAGTTTCAAGCATGATCCAAACTTTTAAGCCATTATTTTTCTTTATCTTATCTTTTTTTTTCTATGCTTTGATTAGGCCCTTTTAATGAGTTGAATAATTATATATTTTTGGATTGCTTTAATTATTTGGAAATAGGTGAATTAAATTAGTCCTCATAATTAATTTTATTATTGGCTAATTATATGGCCTTACTATTGGATAAATATGTGGACTTACGTAAATTGTTTAATGAATCCAAATGTGTTTTGATAATTTTTTTAGGAGGATTAAATATATAATTTTCTTAGTCAATTAGGGGTATCTCAATATTTTCTTGTATTTCATGAATTAGCTCCCATTTTTACTGTGATTTTTTATTTTTATGTTGAATTAGATAAATCATCAAATTTGAAGTGTGAACGATACACCATTACATATCAAACCCGAGGGTTGAAGACCCTTGAGAATTTTAAGGTGAGATAAGATTGGAATCAATACTCCCTAATAGAGTTAGAAGGATGGGAATGAATTTTTATTTCTTATATTATTCAAGGTGATGCCGATCTCGGTATAGTTTTGATTGCATAATATTTGATAGTTTGTGTCAAATTTACATTTAAATGTGATGCTTGATCACATTAGGAAACCCTATGTTAAAATGTTATCTAAGACATAATCTTTGTGAAGTCGTTTGCTATCCTTTTGAAACCTTAAATCAAAATATTGTTCGTGACAAGGTTAAAATATTGTTAGTGACATTATCATCAAAACACTAGGTCTAAATATCGTTAGTGATATAATCTTCACAAATCCGTTATCGATTTGTCTTTGTTTTGAAACCCTAGGTCAAAATATCATTAATGACATTGTCATCAAAATCCTAGGTCAAAATATCATCGGCGACATAACCACTACTAAGTCGTTATTGGTTTGCCATTCTTTCAAAATCTTAGGTCAAAATGTCATCGGTGACATTATCATCAAAACTCTAAATCTAAATATCATTAGTGACATAATCTTTGCAAAGTTGTAATTCATTCAAAACTTATAGCAATTAATTAGTTTAATGTTAATTAATTGGTTGATTTGATTTAGGTTTAATTAATTAATTAATTAGGTTAATTTGATTAATTGTTAATTATTGATTAATTTATTAAATTTTTATTTTTTATTAATTGTTAGGCTAATTTGTTAATTAATTGTTTGTTTGATTTAGG